TTTCATGAGAAAACAACACACGAAAAGTTGCAAAAGAGTACAATTGTGCTACAACTGAAATGATGCCCTTTCTGGATTCTAAATTCAGGATCACACTGAGCAACACTAGACTTACTTCAACGAGACAAGATGGTCACTGGTATAGATGTGGGCAGGGAACATCCATACGTGCTAGTAACAGAATCGTCTGCGTCAAGGTTTGAAAAAAATAAAAGGCAGTGCTCGTCGGGGGGATCACACGATTATGCATTTTTAAAGCAGGTCGCAAAGAACGCCCAGTTGGCGAATATAGCTAATATTTAGTGCAGCTTTCCATGACGATCATGTAGTAGGCTCAGTGCACGCCAAACACCGGAATTAATCTCAAGTTAGATTGATTCAGAAATTTAATTTCAATTTTTGAATTTGAACAGACCTTGGCTTATGTTCAGTTTAAAGCGAGTTTTGCGGGAACCTTTCAAATTTGCACTTGCACTTCATTTATTTTACTGTCCGTGTCTATACACGCAAAGAGATGAATTGTAATAGCTGAGAGAGGGGGAGCGAGAGGCGGTTGGAGAGAGGGAAAAAGAGGGGAGGGAAGGGTTAATTTTCGTAGTGAACGTAACATGAGGCTAATAAACAGGGGGAGACAACAAAATTATTTCGAATTTCTACCTCACAACGATTCAAGAGAATAAAAGTGCGCAGAATTTTCGCTTTTATGGACTTATTTTGCCCTGCAAATGGAAAAAATTGCGTCAGGGGTTAAATTCTTATAAAGCAGTCAGAGCGCTCACAACCTACACGGATCACCTACCGGACAAGGCTTTATAAGGAACACATTTTTGTGCCGGCTTTCTGCTATTTGTCCTGAAACGTAAAAGCGCCGCCACATTATTGTTTAAAAAGTTTACAAGCGTAGTGAAGTTTGTTTGTTACAAGTGGGGATGCTGTGTAAACAGAGTATACAGCCTCACAGCCACTTCACGCAACCGTAATCTTTTTTGAATAATAAGAATATTAACAATAATAAGCCTCTGTCAACAGCTGCAACTCACGAGACTTCTTTGTAGTTGGTGTAAATACAGAAAACACAAAAACAGAGAGTAGCGGAGCAGTGTTTGTCCAGCCCAGTTCGTAGAATCAGCCATTTGTCGGCCAGCGCCATTACACCTTCTCTTCCCTGTTATTATACTACCCCATTTGATCTCAGCAT